AACAGAAGGTGACTTTAACGCCACAATTAAGGTGCGGGTGTAAGGATCAGTATTAGGAGACATTGTAACGATAGATACAGACAAATCGTACAGCTACTTAGCTCAAAGGTGGGAGTTGCGCCAAGAAGAGTTATGCCGAAGCGCCGAGATTAGCGTGGGACAAAACTTTTGTGAGGCACCTCCGTACAGTACTCGCAATCCTTACGCATATGTATGTATGTATGTATGTATGTATGTAACACATCAAATAACCACGTACCTATACCCAACAAAAAAACAAAGCCAAGGTTCCCACTTCTTCACGGCCGCGCGTCTACACCTGCACCCAAGAGCTAGCTAGCTAGCCAGCTAACTGGGAAACCTTTTTTTTTCTCTCCGTCTTCTCTCTTACTTACGTACTTACGTACTTTCTCTCACTGCCCAAGAGCAAGTTTCGCGACGAGCGCAATACGAGTGCCAAGGCGGGGAGCGTGAAGAGGGGGAAGGGGAAGGACAAGCGAGTCGAGACATGGGAGACGGAACGGGGATTAGCATGCCCATTTTCCTTTCACCTAGTCAATCATCATTATCGTCGTCGTCGTCGTCGCAATCATCCTCTCTGTGCCAAACCAGCTGATTAACAAATGGCGTGTTTTTATTCTATTTTTTTTATTCTATTTTTTTTTCGTCCGCGCTTCCATGGCTCTCGGTCGGTCGGTCGGGACCATAAGTCCGATGCCGAAGCCCCGAAGCCGAAGCCCCGAAGTCCTGAGTGAAAGGTACAGTAGGGTCACAACAGTAAGTAAGTAAGACAAGGGGTGTGAGGGCGCATCGGAAAATCCGACGTAACGAAGCAGTATACTAGCAGGCAGTATACACCTAGTAGCAAGCAGCGACCTAAGGAAGAAAACAAAGAAGAAGAAAAAGAAAAAAAACCAAAAGATTGGCAGGGCCGGGGGCGCCGTACTATGGCCGTGCGCACACGCGGTTGCGCGTACATAACAAAATGATATGTGTATCAAAATATCATCGCTTGGAAGGGGGCGGAAAGCGTCTGCGTCTGCGTATGTGTGAGGCGGGATGCAAATTCGGCCAATGTGGATATGTCATGGTTTGTTGTACGTAAACTACACTCACTCACACACTCACACATACGTACAAGGGAAAGTGGGAAAAAAGGGAGCGGGCAAGCGAAATGAAAATGGAAATGAGATGAGATCGGCAGGTTTTGTTGCAGTTGTGAGAACAAACGGGTGGCCAACTAGCTAGGTGGCTAGGTGGCTAGATGGATGGCTAGTTGGTTACGTGTAGCCAAGGTACCTGAGCCAAAAAGTGGACGGGTGGGTGGTACTTTGATCTAAAATTTTCATGTACCACAAGTTGATTGAGGGGAGAGGTGTGCGCGCGTGTGCGTGTATGGGAGGCCCTATCATCGGGCTGTGTGCTACACCTTGATCATCAAAATGTGTGTTTCATTAGCGACATGGCGCAAGGGGAATTTTTTCTTGGTTGTTTCGTCTCCCATGGTTTAATTTTGCTGTATGTAGGTATGTACTAGGTATGTAAAAGTGTGTGTGTGTGTGGGTGTGGGTGTGAGTCTTGTCCAACATGCTCATTTCTCAGGCCTCGGGTGTAGAAACCAAAATTACGACGTGTGCATAGGAGAAAATGACACGGTCTGCGTATGCGCCTGTGATTTTCCTCCTAAAGGTAGCACCGCAGAAACACCGTGTATGCGAGTGTTCTTCTCCCCCCTCCCCTTCCCCCCCTTCTTAGTCAGTTAGGAGTATCCTGGTCGCTTTGTTTCTATAACACCCCCTTTATATGTGTACGCGATAGCGTAGTCATGGTATACACACAAACACGACAAGTAATATCTTAACAATTAACAAACAAACAAACCTCATGTACGTATTGCTCCGTACAGTAGACAGATCGCAGGATGTCGTGTGCGCAATTATAGTTGCAAATGTCCACGTCTCTGCGCAGCAATGCATAGGAAAAGGAGATTTATTGATGTAACGACTATTGCATTCTGCGTCTGCAGCTAGGCAAATGAAATGATTTTTTTAGGCAGGTCGAGTGCGACCATGATATGCACCCAGGCAGCGCGTACCTACAGTTTGCATATCGGGACATTCAGTAACTCGGTTGCACAACCGAGGGGAAAGACGGAGTACAGCATGACATGGTAGTAGGCGATATTTCGGAGCTTTTTTTTCTTCTTCTTGGAAGGGGGAACGGAGTCCCGGCGGGTAGCAGTAACGGCTCCCCGAGGGCCCAGGCACACGCAAGCTTACACAATCAGGACGGGTAGATTGTGGGCAATACAGCATGCTGACTGCTGATTTCGCTGTGCCAACCAACATACGACGGTGCGCAACAATCGTACAATGATATCTCGGACACGGAGAAATTACTAGCGGCGTCGAGGAGCGGACAAAGTTGCCCCGAAAAGTGATGCCGTGTCAGGAAAGAAGGGTTGGAGGTTGCGTGCGCGTGAGTGACTGCTGTAGGATGTTCCTTGTATGGGGCTAGCGGTGTAGGGAACGTTGGAACGGTTGGAGAGGGAACATGTACAAAAGTGCCGAGTGTGGGGGGGGGGCTCTGATCGGATGGTTCGGTTCGGGGTTGGGGACGAACCTTTTGCGATGTTGCTGACCCCAACCAAGACATTGCAGTGTCGGTCTTTTGTCTCTCGTGCAATTTTACGCTCGTGTAGTTGTCGCGGGTTGCGCCATGCGGACGAATAAGCTGATGTGAGGGAGAGACACAGCCCGGGCTTGTACCTGAAAAAACAAATCAAATGGCCATGCTGCGCACAGTAACACAATCTCCTGAACACGTTTCTGCTACACCGCTATGCACATGCGGTGTGCCATGGTTTGTCGCGCACGAAAAAGTCAAGCTTGACAAGTCCATGATGTGTACAACCTTTTACCCGCCGTGGCGTCAGGTACCCGGGACGGGCTGACAAAGGTCAGCGCGCGCCGAATCCGCTGCGTGCATTCGTCTCAACAAAAAAGGGAGCAGTAGTCATCATAGACAAGGGGCCTGCTTTGGTCATGCCTTGGAATTCAAATCCTCTTCGGATGACTTGCTGGACGGCATGAACCGGAAGATTGCAGCTGGGCAGTGGCAGTGCAGGGACGGACGGGTGGCAAGTGAAGCACCTGGCGAGGGCGGAGGACATGTGGCCGGTAGCGTGCGTATGGAAGAAACGTTAGGGCAGGTGTTATTGTAGGGAGATCAAAGCGCTCGAGTGCCAGTGGCCGTTTGCCATACCTCAGTGTGTGCTAAAGTCGGGATGAAACAGCAGGACACGAGTAGACAAGGCACGGTCCGAATGTTTATTGTTGAGCTGCCACGGCGTTGCGCCTCGCACAGCGCCACTATGAGTCCAGGGCGAGGCTGGCCAACAAAACGATGCATCGTGGGCAGCGGAGGGCAGAAGCACAGGGAGGGTGCAGACTTCGGCGAAGCTTCGAAAAAAGTACGGTTAACGGCATGTTCGCAAAATGAAGCATTGTGTCGTGGGCGCCGTGTCGTCATGAGATTTCGGGGGCGCTAGCCAGGCAGGCAGGACGAGGAGCGTCCGGGTGCGCGGTAGCGGACATGGCTTCCCTGCAATATAGGCGCAGGCAGCCGGTGCCGCGATGGCTGCTAGTCATGGGAACTGTAGCAACGGTATTTTGGTGCCAAGCGGCGCGAGGGGCCGAGGTAGCGTGTTTCGCAGACGCGATTTGGCGCGAAACGGGGGGGTTGAGCATGTGAAACACGCGTATCACGATGGGCGCGTAGTGAGGCTGCTAAGGCAGCGCGGGCAGCTAAGGTTCCTGAGGCAACTCGGCCAGCTGTGGTGGGCGAGGGGCGGCGAGCATGTGATGCGAGTGGGAGTGGGAGTGCGAGTGCGAGTGGGCGTGGGAAAAGCATGACGGGGATTCCGCTGCGTCGGGTAGAAGGCCGGCTGGCCGTGTGGCCTTGGGCATAAACACGAGGCGGGCTAGCCGCATTGGGCATGGCGTGCTCAGGCGTGCTCAGTCGTGCCATGTGCCGATCGACAGTTGGAGATCAAGAGTGCGCGCCGCCGGGTCAACCACCATGGACGCCGGTAGATCTCTGGCTGGGCAGGCTGGCAGCTGGCGTCTGGGATAGAGCTGGGCGCAGCCCCGTCGCCCAAGACGACCACCCGAGCCACTGCGTCATTGCCGGGCGGGCGCAGAGGGAAAACCCCCCATGTGCTGGGAGCGGTCCACATGACGTCTAGACCTGGCGTCGACGCACAAGGTGAAAATACTGCATCGTGGTGGATGTGGAGCGGTGCGTAATGCCGCAATGCCCTCGAAACAGGGGCGCACAGACGGCGTTGGCTGCGCAGGACAGTCGACGAGGACAAGCTTCCGCAAAAGGCCAAACTGGGACGTGGATGGTGGACACGACGAGAGCGCGTTGCTGGTAGGCAAACAAAGTTTCGGACCAGTTTCCAAGAGAGGGCCGCTCTGGGCCTAGTGTCGAGGTTGGGCTGTCGTGGGCTCGGGGAGCATGGGCATGCCATGGGCAGTGCTGCGTGTGCTTGTGCTTGCTGATGGGGGAGCGTGGTCTGGAACGTGGCAGCTAATCAGGCTCTCCACCCTGGGCTTCCGAGCCATGGCAGCGATCAGCGTCGCGTTTGGAATCCATGGCTGCCTGGGACAGAAACAAGGAGCGGGCGTGAGTGTGTGTGTGTGTGTGTGTGTGTGTGTGTGTGTGTGTATCTGCGGTGGGTGGCAGCACGTGCTGCACGCGTGCGTATGCGGCGGCGGTCGAGGGTGGCTGCTTTTTCCTGCCGCGAGCACTGCAGATGCATGAGCATTAGCGGGTCGTCGTGGATGGATGGGTGGATGGGTGGATGGATGGATGTCGGCGTCGATAATATGTACAGCAGCAATGGGGCGAGGTCAAGGTTGAGGTCATGGGCGTCGTCGCGCACGCAAACATTACAGCCATGCCATGGAACCCCCTAGGCCGCCGCCAGCCAATCAGGCGCGTGCCGGGCCATTGCGGTGACATGCCCCGAGCGCCCACACCCTCGACTGCAACTGCATGGATCAACCGTTTTTCTCGGCTGGGCTGTCCAAGATTATTGCCCCGCCTTGCTTTTGCTAGTCGCCCTGGCGAACCCGGAACGCGCAAACCAGGGCTGACCTCCCACGCGCTTTTCTATTTTGTACCTCCCCCCGTCCTGCTCCTCCGCCAAAACAACTTCGACAACATCCACCGCCCAAAAAGCAACCCAGCCTAATATGCCCCCCTCGACATAAACTCTGTCCATCACCGCCCCCTCTCGCCTCGAGCCGAGCCAGTCCAGTCTACACCCATTCCCCTCTCTGCCACCCACACAGACGCCGCCCACCATGGCCACCACGCTCGCCCTGCCCTACGACGACTTGCGCCCTCATGTCCTGAGGCCCAAGAAGTCGTTCCTCCAGCGCCTCAACCACACGCCCGACCACCTCATCTCCCGCATGCGCTCCCTCAAGGTCGACGACGCCGCCTCTCTCAAGCACTCGTTCGACCGCTCCAGGGCCGCATCCACCCTCTCCTTCATCTCCACCTCGGACTCGGACCGTGACTACTTCCCCGACCTGCCCAAGCACATGGAGCTCAGCGTTGAACGCCCTGCATCGTGTGCTGTCCTGTCGCCACCAGACTCTCCCACCCAAGGCTCCTTCTTTCCCATCCAGCAGTTCCTCGCCCCCATGGACCGCAAGACCAGCTGGGAGTTTGTCCAAGGCATGCAGAGCTACGTCCACTGGAAGCAGGCCACCTACGAATCCAGCCTCGGCCAACTGTCTCCCTCTTCGCCTCCCCAGACCCCCCAAAGCTCCCACTCCTGGAGCTCTTCCAAGAGCTCCAAGGTCGAAATGTCTGACGAGGAAATGGACGACTGGCTCGACAAGCCCATGGATGCCGACGTCCACCGCTTCCGCAAGTTGTCTGCTGCGTCTCTCGAGAGCCTTGCCTACCCAGAAGAGCCTGAGAAGAAGATCCACGTTATCAGGGAACACCCCGACGAGGACGAGAGCGAAACACGGGCTGATCGCCAACTCTCCGCCGTCTGGCGCGAGACCTGGTGCTGGGAGACCCAAGCTCAAAGGCTTAGCGCCAAGGACCAAGCTTACGAAATCAACTTGCCGACTTCAACCCCCGATGATGACTCGGCCAAGTGAAGCAATTCAAGCCCGCTCGCCCCATCCTGCGAGCTTTCAGCCAAATACGGGCTTTCCGAAAAAAGCTCATCACGTGCGCCCGCCCCTCGGCTATACCAAGCCCAAAGGACCTAGGCCCAACACCATTAATCCATACGCCAACGCCCAATCATAGTCTGTGCAGGTCATAGACGGTTATCTCACTAGCCGCCACCTTCCAAGATTGCAAATCTACCAGTAGGAGCGAACAAGGATATACCCAACAACAACCCCAAACACGGCGTCACTACGCTCACTGCTAGCACTCACGAGCCACCATCCTCCACGCAGCAGTAGAAGCAGACCCGAGTTTCAAAGCCGAATCGGCAAACTAGACAGAGTAATTGGCCTTGCAAAGGGCGCACGAATAGAGAGAGGTGGAGGAGGAGGGAGGAGAACGAAGAGAGACGATACATATACCCCACCAGCAGCTCCACAGCGCTACCATTTTTTCCTTTGTCCAACAACCCTAGATATATATCCAATCCACATAGTAGATCCATATAGAAATTATTTCATAAATGTCAATTACCTTACAACTATCCTCCTCTCCTTCATCATTACCATCATGTTCCCTGAACCAACAAAACACCCCCGAAATCCGACCATGGCAACCATACATACATACATAGTGCGCTTTTTTAGCGGCGGCGCCTCCACACCCACTCACATCCACCCACACCACACTACAGCAATCCCAGAAGTCGCCCTACAAAAAAAAGCAAAGAAAAAAGATAAGCTAAGCAGCAAAAGCAAGATTAGCAAAACTGCCCAAAACAGTTCCACCTGCAGCAAGAGCGAGAGTGCGACCCAATCGGGGGAGAAAAAAAAGGGGGGGGGAGGGTAATATGTATGAGCAAAAAAAAAGAAACGGAAAAATAAGCTAAAGTACTAGAGTAAGCTGGTACACTTAGTGAGGATGTGCAAGTTGTGAGGCTCTGAAAAAAAGAAAACCCCCCCCCACTTATTTTAAACCGCCACAACAAGCATATGTAAGTACATCTACTGCCTATGTAAGTTGTTTTTAAAAAAAAGGGGGGGGGAAGGGGTGGGGGAGGCGGAGGTTGGATTACAGTTTTTCTTTTATTGACATAAAAGTTTTATGAGCCCTTTGTATTACGTAGCCGTGGTTGTAAATGCGCTGACAAGGATAACGACAATGACATGGACAATGACAAGGGAAGGATTTTTTTATCCTCAGTTACTCCACTCACTCACTTACCAACGCACACGTTATACGCATGCCGGCCGTCTCGCGCAGAAACCAGTGTTCACGCTGAGAACCAGTAACCAACAAACAGACAGACAGACAGACAGACAGACGGGTGTTTAGACCAAATCCTTAACCCGCAAGTGCGCCAAATCACGCTCGCTGGGCGCAACGCGCTGCGCCGAATGCACCGACTCGGTTACATCGACCATGGTGGTAACGGTAATGGTGCCCAATTCATGATTGTGATTGTGATTGTGGTGGCGGCGATGCCCATTCCGGCTTGTGTTGTGCAGTCGAGCCTCGCTCTCCATGCTGCTGCGCTCACCGGGAACAGGGGAACTGCGGCCTGAGGATGAGGGCGAGGGCGACGAAGGTGCTGCTGCATTGTGCTTTTTGTGCGAATGCGTGGCGTCGATTGTAGTGAGCATGTATGCTTTGTGCGGGGACGACGACGAAGCAGCGGGAGGCGAGGCGCCGAAGAAAGCGTGGTCCGAGATCTTGGGGGAACCCAGCGGGCCGTAGCTCTTGGATGCAGAGCGCTCTTTTGTGCCGTGGGCGTATCCATCCGACAAGTATGCGCGCTGCGTGTTGTCTGTTCTGCGCGACCCCTTTCCGTACGTCGACACGAGCAGCGAGCGGAACAGCGGCTTTAGGCACGGCAGGTTCCCCGCTACCATGCCGACGTTGCATTCCAGCGCGGTCCAGATGGTTAGGTTGCGCGAGTCCCACATCAAGTCTCCTCCGCGTCCGTAGTTGGTGATGTACGAGAGCTTGATCATGGATGCGGCGGCGGCGAAGGTGCCCAGCGCGAGAATGCAGATGATGGAGGCTTTGTGCCGGCGGTTCATTTGCACGCCTAAGAGCATGGGGATCTATGTGTGGGGGGGGGGTTTGCTGTTAGAGATGGAAGAATGGAAGACATGGAATTTGGCGTCTGTGGCAGACGTACTGGTATGGCAATGGAAAATGCGAGATCGGTAACCATGTTCAGAGCCGTGTTGAGGTATCCGAGTATCTTGATTTGCTTGACTGTCCAGCAGGTGCCTTTGACCGTTGGATCCCACATCATGCGGATATCGGTACATTGCAGCAGTACAGTTAACAGACAACCAAAGGTATAAACGCCCATGAAGACTGCCCAAAAATCAGCGGGGGCTGTCCCGTAAGGCAGGTGGTGGTGGTTGTTGTTGTTGCGCAGAACTGACCCATGATGCCAATGATGAGACGCCTAAAGAAGGGCCGGACAGCGATTCTCAAGAGGAAAAAGCCGACGGAGATTTTGACAAAACAAATGGCGAGGAGATAGATGGGCTGCGAAATGAAGTTGAGCTTCATGGCTTGCTGGAAGCTTTTGGGGGCGATATGCTCAATGTGCCGTCCTGCTCCATAGTGAACCTGTGGAATTACAACGCATTGGCCGGCAATGCACTTTTCCATCCATCAGCGCTGCCCGCGGAAAACAGAGTGGCTTCGGCGTACCAACATCATAGATAGAATCATTACATAGTCCTGTCAAGCAGCATGTCAGCAGCCGTCAACCGCTATCTGTAAGATGATGCTCCACTTACGTCCCACCCGACGTTTCTAATCATTCTGATCCGGACGTGGAGTCTGGCTATCGTAGTCATCACTGCCAGAATGGTAACCGATAGTGTGGACCCAAGTATGGTTGGCCCCTCGTTCTCGTAGGGATGCATTACGGGTGCGTCCGCGCGTTGAATCATGGTCACGAAGTTTGGCAACGCGTTGCTGGAGGGTTTGGGGCCTGGGTGAGTCTTGTGCACCCCAGCCAGGAGCATACTCCATGGTATTAATTAGCCTTTTGCTGCTTACCAGCGATATCATCACATCCGGGAGCTTTGCCGCCAGCCGAAACTCGCAGCCTTGGCCAGGGGTGGTGGGCACACCCCGACTACAGCGTTGAAGGTGTGCTTTCCTGGGACTGCACTCACAAAACCTTAAAGCAAGCCACACCGCGGAAGTGTGACCAAAGGATTCAAAGTCTCCTACCAATAGCCTGCTTCTGGAGTGGGAAATGGCCCAATTGAAAAAGCCGTCATGGAATCCGTCGATGCCACTGTCCTAATGTGGCCATGGATGGGCACACTGCGTGTAGACTAGTCTCATATACCAAGGCGTGCGAGTTCGACGTGCATTGCTTGAGACGTATGCCTGTGTCTCGGCGTAGCAGCTATATGCGCTGCGAACAGGTACCATGCACGACATCATACCCCGGAGTGTGGTTGGAATATCGTAGGTCGATGTCGGTAACGGAGGCCGAGTTTGGTAATGCCCGTGAGGGAACAAGTGGCCAGACACCATCGGCAATGCAGTGGGACCGAGACAGTGTCAAGACATCATGCGCATGTGAATCCTTTGAATAAAGCAATGCTGTGAGCAGTCTGTTTGCCTCGGTCTGAGCAGTGGTGCGGGATCAAATAGTCATAACTTCATCGAACACAACGTTTCACCACGCCGCGAACCATTCACCACGTGGATTCTGGAGTCCTGGGTGGCCTGATCAAGTCTGAGAGATCCTCGTGGCTCCATCTGGACAGTCACAAACTATTTGCCATTGGCCATTCCCAACGTGTGACGGGAGGCTACGAGCCGCAGTTCAGACCAGGCTGTGCAGGTATACGAAACTAAGAGATCCTTCGACCGGGGTTCTTGGTGGCCTCATTGTATCAATGCGGTCGAGATTCAGCGACGAGCCAGGGATATACATGAGCATGAGGCATGATCAAGTAGATCCTGAAGCCAGAGCGGAACTGGAGCATCTCGCGGCCCGCCGTCGGTCGGCAAGCCGGCCTCTGCCAATTTTTTGCCATGTGGAGACGAGGCCTGGTGGTACGAGATTTTGGAAGCACTGGCAACATATCGTAGAAGGGGTGAGTAGGAGCAGAGGTTTTCCCAACGCCGGGAATATCCAGATGGTTGTGTACTATGCCGGTTAAAATCCAGAGTCGTTTCGCCACGCCTAGTGCAAATGCACGAGGTGTCCATGGGTCCTGCCGAAGGTGCTGTAGCCAATGGAATGTCCCACGACAAGTCTTGCCGTGAGCTGCAGGTAGTGAAGAAAAAAATATCGCCAGATTATCCGCAAAGATACTAGTAGTAGGTAGGTTGTAGCAATGTGATGGGCACCCGGACGGTAGGGGAGGACGGGACGGGGGAGTCGGCAAAGACGGGCCTCAACACGAAGCGGGGGTTAGCCGCATGGTAGGATGCGCCACTAATATCAGACCACGGACTTTGCTTCCTTTTTACCATGCACCGCCCATGATACCAGACCGAAAGAGGCGGGTCCATCATTGAAGGATTGCTATGCTCTTCAAGCCTTTTCCCAGACCACGTGAGTTGACGTCTGACAGAATCCTCCCTATTTCGCACACTCTTCATGGATGCGTAGATTTATTCCCACGCGGCCGGGGCGTTTCACACGTGGTGTTGGAGGATAGGAAGATGGCCCCAGGCGTCTGAATGCATGAATGCCGACGTGTGCTGAGCTGAGCGTCCTAGACAGGCTTCCCCCAGACGGGGCGTATGTGGATTTCTTGCCCATTACTCGCGAAAGAAAAAAGAACCCTCTGTTTACCGAGAAATACACAAGCACAAGGCTTGATTAGATCTCGGGGCCGCCCTCTCTAAGCGATACTGGGGCAAATGGGGGCGATAAATCTCAGCTGAGTGACGCCCATCCCAACACGACAGGCCCATAGTCTCGACCGTCTTCCCGCGCCGGCAGTTCCCATCCGAGGTCAGTGTTTCCTCATTTCGCCAAATCATGACCCCAGAATCTGTCGTTGTTTGCGGTATACATGCTCTTGTAAGGATAGTCCATGGACACCATCTTGGCCCAGGATTACGGTCACCCGGGAAAGGCTGTGCCACCTGAATCGTCAAGGAATCTATGCTCCTGGTACATACTGCGATTGGCTCGAAGCATGCTATTGCCCGACCCAAGCCCCCTGCCGGCATTGGCAGTCAGCCTGCAACTGCGGTCGAGTATACCATTCAAGCATGGCTAAGGCGGCTTGCACCATGTCGTCGCCCCCAAACTCGGCAGTCGTGCATTGGACGCCCAAATTAGCATTCCAGAAGAAACTTTTGCAGAGGATATATTTTGACCAGCATGGCTGCTTTTTCCTGGCGCCACGATCTCAGCTCTTTGTTTCCGCGTCTTGCGGTCAAGTAGCTGCCAGATCCACCATACACGATCAATCTGCGCGTGGTGCAGGTAGAACAACGGGTCGCCTGGGGAAACGAAAAAGTCACGGCCGGGGTCGCCGCCCATGGAGTAGTGGCCGCCGCCGTGGACACCGAGGTCTGGGGTGCCGGGCCAGCCCTGCATGGTCATTTGGAAGTTCCAAACGTCGTTATTTTTCAGGATCAGGCTGGCCACGGAGGGGGCGTCGGCCCATTTCTTGTTGGCATAGTCGGTGAGATCGCGCTTGAGGCAGCGAGGGTTGTAGGCGAGGCCATCGCCATTGGAGATGGTGCTGCCGTTTGTTAGGGTCAGGGAGGTAGGACCGAGGTTGACCTCTGTGATTGAAGTGTTAGTGTCACTGTCAATCATGTGATGGGTGGCTGTCGAGTCACTTACTCATGTCCTTGAATGGCCCGCTCTTGATGCAGCCACCGCCGGTGCCAGGGGGAAGACGGATCTCGGGCGGCCCAGTTCCGGCAATGACTACTTCTCCCTGACCAGGAATGAACTCTCCGTTTCCAGACATGGAGTACTCGGAGCCATCCAGCATGGGCGAGTTGTCCAAGCCACTCTCGGCAGTCTTGGGCCAGTCCCAGTATGGCTGGTAGCCCTTGTAGCCGCACTCATTGCGGAGAGCTTGTTCGTACTGCCACGTAAAGTACCGGTGCCATGCGAGAAAGGTACCGGTAAAGTGGATGAACAGAGTATTTTGAATGTGGTTCACGACAAAGTCATCGAACCGTGACTTTGCTCCTGCTGCAATCGAAGAGGGTGTTTTGGCCGGCTTGGACTGCAGGCAGAGCACTGCATCTGTGTATGCTTTTCGCTCCTTCTTGGACAGGGCATTCCACTCACGACGGATGGCGACGTTGTTGATATTGCAAGTGCCCCGCTTGGCTGAGCTGGCCTCCAGCGTGGCGTTGACCTGCTGCTGAGCGAACAAAGCAAGCTGTTTAATCTGCTCATTTGCGACTGCAGGGTCGCTGGATGGCTCCGTAGGAAGGGTGGCGTCATTTTGTGGCGCTGGGAGCGCGCTGGATAGAGTGCCAGCAGTAATGAGGAGCGCTAGAGAGTTGAAACGCATCTTGTCCTGCAGGTCGCGGAGAATTAGACTGGGCAGCAAATGAGATGTGGGAAACGGGCGAGAAGGGCATCTCGGGCACAGGCACGTTTTTGAACGGGCCCCCTTCGCCCAACACCACGCTCGACACACCCATTGACCTGGGCTACATTGTTAGCGGCCAGGTCAAGATGGCGGATCTGATGAGCACTACTGAGGGCCCCATGTGCTACCTCTATGTTTGAGCATGTGATATGTGACAGTTTTTAATGAAATGGTTGGTAGGAAAAGAGTTCTCTAGCATTCTTACATGTATATATTGGAAGATAGACCTTATTGTTTAGTTTAATCGATGACGAGTTTTATTGGTACTGCTTCTTTGGGTTGATGAAGGCTGTTTACTTTCGGTTTCTAGGGAGTGGCTGACTAATCCTTGAGTATGACTAGTGGCCTGGTATTACCTGGTCTGCAGTAGTTGTCGTGCCTGCTTCTGACAATCAACATACTTACTACCTACTTACTTGTTTTATCGGTATTTGTCTCATGCAGCGAGCCGAGGCATCCAATGTCTAATAAGTTTGATGTGCATTTTATAGTGGCCTTCGCCTTCACAGATAATAGCGTCTGTCTACAGTAAGTAGTGTGAGAAGTTGCGGGTTATTGAAGACACCGCCGGTAAGTATATGATTCTTTGTTCTCTAGTAGGTGCATATGCGGATAAATCGATGTCGAGCGTGTATTGTTCGGCGAGGTCGAGCAGTCTGAGATTGAGGGCTGAGAATGCAGTGAGGTTGCTTGTGCTCAATTTGAAGTCCACATTGAGATAATGCTCGCAGACGAAGTGGTATAAATGGCGATATGTTCAAACGTGCGTTAACGCGCTGCCCCTTCACAAGTCCGATGGTAGAAATCTAAATGCATACGATCGGTCTCAGCCCAAATCCTTGGTATCTTGTTGTTTCAAAGTGATAAGCTGTCGACTTAGTTGAGAGTACGATCATCCCTTCCTCATTACCTAACCACCAAATCAGCACTTAGTACTTGTTCCATACGTTTTTCTGGGATTGGGTGTATTAGCCATCAAATTCATAAGCCTGGCACATCCCGACGCTGAGTCTTGGCTATTGTGCCTAGTCACGGACTTCAACCTACCCAGAGAGTCTGCGACGACACCTGTCACCCCCACTCCCGCTTTTCTACATCACGGACTCTCCGACCAATATTATTGACTTGGAGCTCGCCTACAAACCAAACGGCTACTGCATCTTTTGGGACTTGTCCAGGCTTCACTACTTCTGCCATGCAATCACGGATCACCGTTATCTTTCACCTTTGAAAATTTCCGAGGTGACGTAGGTGTTTGCGGTTGGTGCCTAGCCAGGAAGGAGCGCTTAGTTCAGTCTCTCACTCCCCTTGCTCCAACTACACTGTATCCCAGGTCATCTTCTTTACTACTTTGCACTTCAATCAGCATGGGTCGGTACATTCGTACGTCTTACGACGCTGCTGTTGCTTTCGCAGTTGCCGAGGAAGTGGAAGGTCTAATTGAATCGTTCACTATCGACGAGTTTATGGACTCCGAGTTGAACTGGGATCGCAGCTCCACCCGCCGCACACAATTTATCTCCATGGGCAACATCCCGGTGGACCATATTTACCTGTCGTCCGAGCGATACGGCTTTCACCAGAGAAACCACCATGTGCAAATGGTAGAGGAAGAAGACGAGACTCGAATCATATTTCATGAAGACCTACGCGACCGGTCATTCGTACGCATCAGGGTCACACACATGTACAAGGATAACACACGTTCGGAGGAACAACACAGTCATGAGACTGACATCGATCTCACATACCGCAACACCCGGCGTCCCGGAGATCTCCCCAAGAAATCTCCAGAGCGCGATTTCTACGTACCTTCTCACCAAATCATCGACGTCTCGGACAAGTCCTTCATCCCAGACCTGCAGAAGCTCTTTCCGCACCTCGCCCGCAAGGATGAGCAGTATTGGGGGAAGTGCTACAAGTCCTTGGGATATGACATGAAACTCACCTTGCTGAAGTTCTACCAAAACGAGCTGCCAATGACGAGTAACTTGTTCTCACCAAGAGAGAACGTCCCGACGTCGTACCAAAACCTTCGGATTGTCATGCGACATGCCCCCATGATCTTTGCACTGGTCCGCAATATCGACATCGAAAGGGTGACTAAATCCATGATGAACCGGTTCGGTGAACTCGCCAAGTATGACCCTCTATCGGAGCTCTTCGTCGACAGTCACCATCCATACACCAACAAGAACATTAAGGACGCATTGGAGTTACCCCGATTTGACACGTTGCCAGAGTACTCTTTCGAGAGCTGGAGGGAGTTTTCCGTCCATAGCGGTGTTGGCGCCATCATGGAACTCCGTTTTAGCATGCGAAACCAGGTCCGTCGTGGCGAGGCGTCGGTTCACCCAGTACCTCACACACAAATCAAAGTCGATGGCAGGTCATTGGACTTGTCATTGTTCGTTAATTTTCTCGAAGGCAGAACTCATCGTAATTTGCCCAAGCTCACCGTGGGCGACCTTGTCACGGTGGATTTTAACAACTCCAAAGACGACGCAGAACCAGAACACTACTGGGATGGCAGAGTGGTCGCTCCCACCTTGTCCACCGGCCCCGGACAAATCTGTATGATTGTGAACCGCCCAAACGATGAGATAGACATACTCGATTATGAACCATACACGGAGCTGACGGCGGCCGACATGGACAAGATGACTGCCCCGCAGCTCCAGGAGTGGTCTTACAAAAATCTCAACTTGAGAATCACCGTCTGGAAGCAAATTGACAAAAATGAGCTCAAGCGACTCTGCAATGGGCTGAACAACATGAAGGTTCCGAGAGAGCTCAAGCACATGTACAAGGGCAAGGTACACATCCTGAAACAGTTCCGCCGCTTGGTCCAATGTCGGGATCACACCCAATACGACATGTCTTCGCTCTATGATACTCTTCACCCCGATGATCGAGGCCGCTTCATGAACACCTTGCGTTCTTCACTCTATGACTATCAGATGGCACCAGTCACTCGTTGGTCTAACAAAGGTGTGACCGCGAACATTGTAGCCCTTGGAGGCATATCGGGTTCCGGCAAGACTCATACGAGTATCAGTGTTCTCAGTGGTTATACCTTGAGGGTCAAAATTGACCATGAGAAAAAGGCCATGCAAGAGCTCGACTTCCTCCGACTTTTCGAGGGGAAGTCTGAGAACCCCGAGCTCTGTGCTGCTCAGACCGAGGCCATTTATCTTGATTCCGCCGACAACCAGATGGAATTCAATGACAGTCTGGAGGAAGAGTTCGAGAAGGGTCGCGTCACACACGCTTGCATTCAGAATGAGACTGTCGATCATAGCTACGACATGTGGCGCAAGCGGCTCGATGAGCTTTCCAAGTCAATGAATGTTCGCAGAAAGCTCGTCATTCGTTTACATTCAATCCAGTCGGAGCGCAAGGCCTTCCACGCCATGATCAATCCAAACTTCAAGGCAGGTTCTAAAGACAACCCTGAGCGATACGAACCGAACGGCGAGCTTTGTGGAACAACCAGCGAATCCCTGCTCGAACACTACCTCCGCGAGATGCGCACCGAACATACTGGTATCACCGACAAACGCTTCCGCATGGTCCAAGGCTCGCTGGCGTATGTTATACTGCAGCTCGCACGGTTCAGCGGTTTTCGTATGACTGAAGAAGTGGCCAACACTTGGACTGGGAGGGAGCGCAAGCAAATTGCAAAAAAACTCAAGGTGGTCATCACTGCCAACAGGGAGTTACAGACTGCGGGCGAGATGACTGAGGATACCTACCAGGCAGTGGATCAGGCTTTCGAAGCCGGTTACTATTTCATCATTGAGCGCGTTCCCGTCATCTGTTGTACTCTAGCTATTGCAACAACGAATAGCTTCCAGATCCATCGCAAGGCACACGCCGTCGCCCTGGAAGAAGCTGGCCGAGCCATCGATCTAGACATCACGGCCCTCCTCTCGTCACACTGGGCATGCGACCTTGTCATGTTGGTCGGCGACTGGAGGCAACTGAGTTATACTCCGTATGGACCAGCAGACGAGAATCCGTTCCAACTCCAGCTATCGCGGTCCACCTTTTCCCGGCTCAACTTTACGGGGTTTCCCATGCAGCTGCTCACCCACACGTCGCGCTTCACCAACCCCACGCTCCTCAGGCTCTGCGCCCGTCTTAATGCCGAGATGCATGTCACTGCAGTACCTGGGTCCTTGAACACGGAGCTAGAGCAATATGCGAAGGAGATCAACCTAGACATTTGGGGCAAGGAGAGTGTGGTCGTTGTCGTCAACACGAAAGACGCCAAGGCCCACTGCGACAGGACTGGTTCATGGTACTGCAGCACTACTGCTATCATAGCCATGCACGACATTGTCAGCCGCGTGCGGTGCGTCTCTGGCGACGATATAATGGTAATCACGCCTTACAAAGCCCAACTCCGCGTCTTACTCGCACTGCGAGACGAAGCGGTGCATGACGCTCTCGCCAGACGTTGGACGGGTTTGGCGGAGCAACTTACGAGAGTCATGATCATCACTGTGGATTCATCCATGGGCAAGGACCGCCATCACGTTGTCCTTGATACCGTTGGCCATGACAGTGGGTTTCTCTGGCAACAGCCTCGTAGCCTCGTCGCTGGCACCCGGGCTCGCACCAGCTTCACCTTTATCGGCCCCACTTTACCGTTTACCTCGCCGTTTAGAAGCGCCAAGGACCGTCTGAGGAATATGTTGTGCGAATGGGGTCGTGAGGGCTTGATTGTCACTGTCGAGCGCTACGACATGCATAGATTCGAACAGTATCCGAGCGTCCTAAGGGCGATGGAATTATCCTTGGGTTATAGAAATCGCTTCTAGTTCAGTTGTTTGAATACCTGTTTTGGTGATTCGGTGACCAGACGAACGGGGTTGGTTATTGGTAATGTGGTACGTACGTCCTGTTCACGAGGAAGTAATGTATTCACCGGCTCTTGGCTTTCTTCTCCAAAGAATGGGAGTCTAATGGCGAGTCGACTAGACACTGATGGTGGTGGATAATAGAAAAGCGTGTGTTTCGCAGAGTCGTTCCAGATAGACATATGTGTGACATGACGCGAAGAGCATACGAATTAACGTGTGAACAAAAGCATAACTACCACACTGGTATTGCATGTGCTCACTTTCAAATATGGAAAGGGCATGACCAGGAGACACGACATAACAAACGATATCTTTTCCTATAACTCATGCATGACGATATATACTCTATATCTATTGCTTCGCGCTCAACACTTCCTTAACGACGCCAATGACGTGTGCAAAAGCATCCTTGGGCGCAGCAACGACACCCTTGTTTTCCTTGAGCGTCCTACCGAGACCAAAGTCGAGCGGCTTTCCGTAGGCATCCGTGACTTCTCCGCCGGCTTCTTGGACGAGAACAACACCCGCAGCGTGGTCCCAGATCTTCTCTTGGTATGTCTTGCTCGTCGGCAGCCTCAGGTACAGGTCGCCTGCTCCGCGGGCGATGGAGCAGTATTTTGCTTGCGAGTCCATGCGGACAGAGGGCTTGGTGATGCCGAGTTTGGCGGCGATAGCGGCGTTGTCGCCTTGCGACGAGTGGCCTGCTTCGACGGACTCGCAGAATGTGGCTTGAGTGACGTCTGAAAGCGGCTTCATCTTGATCGTCTTTGGCTCTTGGAGGGCGCCCTGGCTCAGCGGCCGGCTGGTGGCTCCCTGGCCCTTTACCGCGGCAAACAAAACTCCCTTGCCTTCCTTGTCGTCTGCGTCTTGCCCCGTGGTGACGGTGAGGGGCGCTTGGTCGTCGACGGGGAGGTTGGGGCATCCAATGACGCCGAGAGTGGGAACGCCATCGACCAGTAAGCCTAGGCAAACCGCATACTGTCCGCCACGCAAGAAGCCCTTTGTGCCGTCAATGGGGTCCAGCGCCCAGATGCGTCCCTTGCTGCCGCCCTCGCTGTTCCCCTGGTCAATGGCCGACAGCATGGCGTCGGCGCTCTTGATGGGCCCGCCAATCTTGGCCTCTGCCGCGCTATCCTCCAGCTTGGCTGCCTGCACCAGGGCCCAGACGAGGTCACGGAGCGAGTCGTTGTTGCGCAGGTCATTGGCGTCTTCCTCTCCGACTATCTCGTCCTCGGGGAAAGCGTGCTTTATCGAGGCGATGATGAGGGCCTGGGCGCCAAAGTCGCCGATTGTGACGGGCGACGAGTCGCTCTTGGAGAGGGTGCCCTTGGAGTGGCTCGAGTAGACCGACTTGGTGAGGATGGAGGCGCGCTGGACGGCCAGCAGCGCAATCTCAAGCTCCTTCTCGTAGGCCATGATGCGGGTGCTGGCGGTGGTGAAGAGCGGCGGTGACGTATGGATTGCGGCGGCGGCTGGGTACATGTGCTGCTTCAACTGGGAGAGGCGGGCGACACTGCGCGGCAGCAACGAGGGATTGAAAAGTGAGAGCGCCAGGATGAGCAGAGCTAGCAGGAAGAACCTGGATGGCGCAATTGCAGTCGGCGTGGACATTGGCTGGTGGCCGTCTTGTGCCCCTCCACGCGTTGGTGGGGGTCTGCAGTCGGGCGGATGGGCCTTCAGGGTCCGAGCTTGGCATGGCGGGCGGAGGTTACTGCTTTGGTCATGGCCGCCATAGCAACAACACGGCCGGCAGCCTGGCAGCTACAAAGACATGCTGCGTCGCTGCTCGCCATAGCCGCCATCACGCGTCGCCGTCTCAGCGCGCAGTCTCGCCATCTGTCTCCTCTGCACATCCGCTTGCAACCTGGCCAGCGCCGCGCCTTTCCCGTCCGGCCTGAATCAGAGTAAACAAAGATCGACGCCCAAAGCCTGCTCGCCAACCACACACCACACAGCCCGCGCATCCCGGGTAACAAGGCACAAGACTCCCTGCACCACACCGCTGTTTGGCCGTCTTACTTATAAAATATGACGTCGACAGAGCAGCAGCCCGCGCTCGCCACCACCAAGCGCAAGTTCAACAGGCTGCTCGACAACCTCACCGGAAGCACGCCGACGACTTCTCTGGCAAGCAGCCTCCACGAATCGAATGCATCGACCGCATCCCTTTCCGAGCCAGGCAGCCCGGAGCAGCCCCCCAAGCGCCCCCGCAGCGCAGGCCTAAGCATGGAGCGCCAGCGCAACATATCAGAGGGCCAGGAGCGCATACGCCAATTGAAGGAGCAGCTGCTGACGCCACGGAGAGAGGGCACAATCAAAGTAGTAGGCAAAACGACTATCACGCCCAAGGCCTCGACGCCACAAGCCACGACGCCGCGCAAGTCGCCCAATTTCCAGCCCTACAGCCAAGAGCATTTTCTCGAGCGCCTCAAGACATTTGCAGATGTCAGGAAGTGGTCTACGAAACCGGATGCCATCAACGAGGTCGCATGGGCAATGCGAGGATGGAGCTGCGATATCTGGAACACGGTCGCTTGCAAGGGGGGATGCGAGAACCGTGTTGCGGTCAAGCTGAGGCCCAAACGAAGAGACGCTAATGGAAGGGATATCGAAATGAGCGAGGATCTGGCGGTCGAGATTGACGACGCGCTGGTGGAGAGATACAGAGAGATGATTGTTGAGGGGCACGCCGACGACTGCTTGTGGCGGAAGCGAGGCTGCCAAGGTATGTCAAGTGTGTAAGAAGTTGAGGCACCGCTAACAACATGAACAGAAGACATTTACCATATCCCTATCGCGTCGCGAACCAAGAGCTTCACCGAGCTGCTCGAGCGATACCGCTCGCTCAGGGCTATAACGGCCGACCTTCCCCTCCTCGAACACCTCACCTATCCCGACCCATCAATTCGCCGCATTGTCCAGCGCATACCCTCGACATTCTTCACATCCGTACCTGACACCCCAGTGCCCAACTCGCAAGTCGATGTCGTAGCCTTTGGCTTTGCCCTCTTCGGCTGGAGCGGTGTCAAAGAGTCACGCATCTCCCTCGCCATATGCAACCACTGTTTCCAGCGCCTGGGCCTGTGGCTCTCCTCAGCCTCACGCCTCAAGGAAATGAGCAAAAAGCTCAACGTACCCGTAGACAGCCTACGCCTAAACCTGCTCGAATCGCACCGCGAACACTGCCCCTGGAAAAACGCAGACGTCCAAGGAAACTCCAAAGACGGCCCCATAGCAAACATGGCAGCTTGGCAGACCCTGCAATTCATGCTCCTAGGCAAGCACAAAGACTCTTCTTCCGCTACGGCCCCCAGCACCCCGCACAAACAGGCGTCCAGGAAACAGCATAGCCACACCGATAGCATCGATGCCGACGCTGACCTCGAGTACCCGCGCGGCAGTGTCGATAGCGTAGAGCGAACAAAGTACAACGACGAGGACGAAGATGGCGGCCTCAAGGAAAAATGGATCAAGCTCAAGGCCAAGCTCAAACGCAGTGCCAGTAAAAAGAGTCTGAAGAGTACCAAGAGCGGAAAGAGCACTAAGAGCACTGGCACAAAGGAAAAGTCTTAGAAGGCCTTTTGGATGTGACGGTGTTGATGTGCTGTACTCTTTCCCCTTTGCTCTATACCTGTTTGTTGTGTCTTGGGGTAGCGGTTGCGTAATGTCCAAGGTGTTTGTGTGTATGTGTGCTTGTGCGTTATGGAATGAGAAGATGATGTGGAGTGTGTGTGGATATATCATGATAATGTCTCTTTTTTTTTAATCCATGTTTTTTTGGGGGGGCGAAATGAGTGAGTGAGTGAGTGAGTGGGAGATGATTAATGTTTCTTCTTTAATCATTAGTAATTTGACTGAAGTGCAGAATCACCCCATCTCTCACTTTGACGGTTTTCCTACTACAATGGCATTGCGGGCAGAGAGGTACGTGTACCGCATATGTACATGGTGAGAGAGACAGACAGGCAGACAGAGGGGGAAAGGGGGGGGGGAATAGCAAGTCAAACAAACTACATATTCATCAATCAATCAACCAGCTAACGCATACTACCAACAAACAATACCTATTCCAACAACACAACTCACCCTGCAAACCCAACATACAACATATACCCACCCGCAATCTACCCAAACACCTACAATGAGTCAAGTGAACCAAGTCAGGTAATACAAAGACCAAAAAAAAGAGAGAATGGAGAATGCAAAACGTAGAATAGAGAGTGCTCTAAAGGATATGCGGATGTTACTGGGAGTTTTTCTTTTTTTTAGTGCTTACGACAGGGGAAAAGGAGAGAAGAGGATTGACGAATAATAGTAGTGGAGATGGAGGCAGAGGAGGTGCAAGAAAGAAGAGGAGCAAAAAAAAAAAGGAGAAATACGAAAAAATTGAAGAATGGAGAGTCGATGAAGAAGTTGGAAGTTTTACAACCGCTATCATCACTACCATCACCATGACTACGTCTGACTATCAGCCTCGCCGTTGCCAAGATATTTGTTTAACAGAGAAGAAGAAGAAGAAGAAGAAGAAAGAGAGAGAGAGAGAAATTGTGTATGTACTTCTAATCTCCATCAACCTCATTCCCAATCCCAATCCTCATTCCATTCAACCCTAGACCAAATCAACCCGGACCTAGCCACTAAAAAAACACTACTACTTAGCTAAACAAGTCACCAAAAACATTCCTTTCCCATTTAAATTTCCTTTCTTTTCTCTTGCTTCGCCCGTTAGGATATAACGTTATGTATTAAAAGAAAAATGGTGTCTGCGTATGTATCTATTATTATTGTTCCATTAGAGTCTAGTGAGCTCGAGGCTATGTAAGACTTTGGCCGAGGCCGTTCTAACTAGATTTATTTACAAATACGAGTTTGTGCTTGAAGTGTGTCTGTGGTGCTTCGGCCTTTGTCTAGGTAAGCGATAGCTATCGCTTACTAGACGCCTAGTGCTAAAGAGCATTTTGATAACAGAAAGAGATGTTAGAAAGCAAAGCAATCCTCCAGCGGGCTCTTTTAGGGATAAAAGAAAAAGTTTCGACTTAGGTAGTTTTAATAA